TTTTGTCTTAATTTCCCTGAATCCTAAACTTTTTTTGTCCTCTCACCTCCGGTATCAGCACTCCTTTTCCCCTCCTCCCTCCATCCCTCTCTCCATCTCTGTGTGTCATGAAGGTGACGACAGAGCGGCCTGATTCTCTTTTACCTCCTCCTCCTCCTCCTCCTCCTCCCCTCTCTCCTTCTCCTCCACCTCGTCAGGTATATTGCATGCTCACGTTTGCAGATTGAATGCATGCATGCCAGTCTACTTGAATTTATTTCCCAGCCTTTAGTGAACGTTTCAGTCTTACCGTACCTGACTTCTGTCTGTTTGTTGCTGTGTGTGTTCAGGCGAAGACGGACCCTCTCAGATGGGTCTGGAGGATCTGGCCATGTTCAGAGCCATTCCCACTGCGACCGTCTTCTACCCGAGCGACGGTGTCTCCACTGAGAAGGCCGTGGAGCTCGCAGCCAATACAAAGGTTTCCATTGACACCTGTCATAAAAAATAAGGGAAAAAGAAAAGTATAATATCAGATCAACTGTTTGTGCCAAAAGTAAAGTGTAGATTCTTTCTAGGGTTTGTGTTACATCCGAACAAGTCGCCCAGAGAACAACATGATCTATAACTGCAATGAAGACTTCCATGTTGGTCAGGCTAAGGTTCGTGTCGGCTCTTTTCACCTGTTACCATCGTTCAAAAAACTGAATTAAACCTATTTATGTTTGTAACTTTTTTCTGTTTTCATCCATCATGATTTACCACAATCTGACTTGTGCACGTTTTCTTCATCAAATATGTCTTCTCTTCAGGTTGTGTACAAAACCAACGATGATCATGTGACTGTGGTCGGAGCAGGAGTGACCCTTCATGAGGCTCTGGCTGCTGTTGAGATGCTGAAGAAAGGTACAGAGACAAAGATAAATAAAACCAACTCATGACAGCATACAAACACTGTAAAATCCAGCATATCGTGTCATAGCTTCCATTTCTGATTCGATATCTGAGGACCAAGTTGACTTTGACACGAAGCGTCAAATAGGCTAAAGGTGCATCCTCCCCTCTCCTCCCTCAGAGAGAATCAACATCCGTGTGATCGACCCTTTCACCATCAAACCCCTGGACTCCAAGACCATCATTGACAACGCCAGGGCAACCAGAGGACGCATCATCACAGTGGAGGACCACTACTATGAAGGTGAGGAGGGACAACACGGTCAAATTCACAAGATAACCTTCAAACCAAACAATTCAGGGAAACACTTTTAGGGTCATGTTGAAAAAAGAGATTTCGAGAATAAAATTGGAATTGAGAAGAAACTCCTAAAATTATGAGAATTAGGTCATAATTCTTAATGTATCTTGATGATACATTTTGTAAAACTATGAATGTTGCTGCATGAGACCAATTATATGTCACATACTTTAAATGTCTGTAAGAAATTACTCATTTTCAACAGCCCCACAATATACAGAGCCAGCTCAAGTGCATTTGTGCTGTAAATCCAAAGAATCTTATGATCATACACAATTATACTCAGGACAATCTCCTGTGAGAGAGTAGAAGACATTTTGTGTATCATATGTATTCATGTGAATCAGCTCATTAATAAAAAAAAAAGTGCAAGGGTCCATGTGCCGACAGTCTGAGGTGTCGTACAAGAGGATGGGACAAAGACTACGAGAACAATGGAGATGTAGATGGCAGAGCATTGTGTTGGATGTTGTGAAGAGAGGGATGGAAGATGCAGAGAAGGTGAAAAACAAACAGTATATGAAGGGGGAGGAGGAGGGAGGGAGGGAGGAGGAGCTGGGGGAGCCTGTCAGGGCTTCTTAATTTCAGCTCTGGCCTTTGGGCTCTCGCTGACCTACATTCAGTACCAGCATGACAAAAACGAGTGTCTCCGTCTCGTCCTCTCTTTCATTGGGTTTGTATGCATTTTTGTTCTTTTACATGTAATTACTTCCTCCATCCTTTGAGATTAACCTCCATCTGCTTGATGAAATAGTCACACACAAAACAAATGGTAGATGGCACTGTTAAAACACACACACACACACACACACACACACACACACACACACACACACACACACACACTAAATATTACTGTACTGTTGTTTTTTTGACCTCTTTGCATTATTTCTTGAGTAATTCACAAAACTACTGAGAAATAACGTAATGCTAAAGTGAAAAAATACAATTCTGGGATCCGCCCTCTTATTCAAATCCGCTCTAAAGATTAATTATATTTCTTGATCCCTTCCTCAAAGTTTCAATAAAACAGGCTCAGTTATTTTTGTATGATCCTATCTACATACAAATAAATACTTCATATTCATAGTTTTATCAGCAGTGAGAAGCTATTTCAAGCGTGTGTTGGATTCTAGTGTCCATCGACATTACACAACAACACATGTGGTTGCATAGTGGGAACAATCAAAGTGACAAAACTCATCTATCTCTCTCTCTTTTGTGCTCATGTTCAACTAATGAAGGACAAAGAACAAATCACTCTCCTTTCTTAATTCTTCGGCTTTCCTGTCTCACTCACTGAGAAATGTTTGGAGGGGGAAGTAAAAGAAAACGTGACAGAAAGAAGGGAAGTGAGAGGAGTGTTCTGGGGGTGAAGGTGAGACAAGAGGAGTGAGAAAGTGGAGAGAGGGCGGTGTCAGTCCTGTCAGGCCTCATCACATCGCTCCACAGCTCAATCGTCCGTGGAGGTGTGAGAAATTAGATTGGACAGAAGGGTGGAGGGAAGGAAGACATTTGTTCCACTTCTTTGTGTGTAGACTTGAATATGAGAAATCTGATATGTGTGATTTGAGTGAACATTTTAAGCCACAGTTGTGACGGTTTTATTTTCCGATACCCAAGGTGGTCTGGGTGAGGCCGTGTGCTCGGCAGTCGTCAACGAAACCGGCTTCAACGTCCATCGCCTGGCAGTTTCCCAGGTGCCACGCAGCGGGAAGCCCCAGGAGCTGCTCCGGATCTTTGGCATTGACCGTGACGCCATCGTTCAGGCGGTCCGTAAAATGCTGAGCACCTCCGCCAACGCCAAGTAAGAACACTGCAGCCAGGGCGGCAGCTGCAACAACATGATCGAGGACTCTGTGGTAAACTGGTAATTATCATGGAGGCATCAAACAAACAAGCCAACACAGGAGGAGAAGCACTTTGGCCCAATTACGCTCTCCTCCCCGTAAAACTATCTGAAGCATTTGTCAGAAAAAAAAAAAAAAAAAATTCCATTGTTTTTCTCTTTCTGTCTGTCATCGATGTGATTTGATAACCCCACCCCAGATTTTTGCCCCATCTGTTTGTGAGTTCAGTAAACACACCTCCTCCCCTTCACACATATACACACACATATACACACACACATATACACACACACACAAACAACACACACTGTATATTCACACCTGCACCCTCTAACCCTTCCTACCTCCCAGAGAGAGATCCGGTGCTGCTCTAGTGTCTCAGTAAAAGCAGTGAACGTGGTTTGGAGTAAAAAGTCTTTTTTTAAATCATTTCTGTGGAACCCATCTCACTACTTCGGCGCAGCATTTCAAACGCCTGCACCCAGTACGACTTTGTAAACCCCCCCACCCCACCCACTATAGCCAGCAGGGTGTGGAGAAACTCTGGTTTGGTCTGTTTGAGCACTGACTGTTTCTAGCCCTTCTGACCCTGAATTGGATGGGACTGCTTCACACCAATAAAGGGATGGTTTCTTCACTATTCAACTGTGTCTGACGTCTTTCTTTTGGGTTGGGTTGTGTATGAGACAAGGATCACTCTTACTCTGGAAATAAAAAGAAATGTTTTGTTAACTTTACGTTAAAATTCAATTAGTTCACATCCTGTAAAACTGTCCTTGTAAAGGTTGCATAGTTAGAACATTGTCTGATGCACACAATGCCAACTCAAAATTCTCTGAATATATTTGTTAAGAGTTTATTTTCAAAGTCTGAATATTGTGGTTTGCAATTGAAAAGATGACAGAGTTAAGCTCAACAGTCATATTGCTGCTGTAAGTACTTTACAGGAAACTATAACCTATCTGGCTGAAACGGTTGATGATGAGTTTTTAGTCAAACTCCCAGCAAACTTCTAGCGCTGCCAAAGATTCTCACAGCGCCACCTACAGGTGGAACTAAATACATTTTCACTTTATCAAAGCACATGTTATTTCAATACATTAAAATTTAAAATTAAAGACCAATTTGTTGTCCTGTTTAAAGTAAATATAGTTCAGCAGATATACATGGTGCTGGCATGTTATTAGATTAATTGCAGTATATTTTACTAACCCTGAGCCCAATCTATAATCACAGGCATACATGCTACATGTTGCGATGTTAAAATGCTAATCAGTACAGTGGGTAAAATAAGAGCACTGCAGAGACAGTCTCGTCTGTGTAACACTGCACGGTTTATAATGGAATTCACAACCAGGGACACTGAACCTCACACCTCACATCTTATATCACTCTGCCAATCTTAATCATCACTCACATCACATGCATGTAAGGACTGCCTCATTATATAGAGTCAGTCTCATCCTAGACCGACATTTCCAAGTGGCTCAACCTGAGGAGTCCTTTCACTCTTCAAATTAGATTCCAATTAGATTAATTAATTCCATTAGAACTGTCTGTCTAATTGTATAAAAATAGTTGATAAAATGAAGATGATCTTTTGAAAGGATAAAGGTTATTAATCATCCGAGCAACACAATGATTACACAATACATCCCTTATCTATATTGATATCCTGTGAGGGTCAGGGGGGCAGGAGCCAAACTCAACTGACATTGGTTGAGAGGTGGGCTACACCCTGGACACAGGTCACCATCATAGGGTCAACATAGAGGCAAGCAACCATTCACACTCACATTCACAGCTACAGTATGTCTTTGGGCAGAGGGAGGAAGCCGAACCTGAAAAAAACAAACAAAGAAAAACTCTGACCAACGAAGGATTCAAATCAAGAACCTTTAGCCGTCAGGCGACATTGCAAACCACTGCATCACAGACCATTTCCACAAAACAGTGTTGTCCAAGAGGGAGATCAGTAAACCCGCCCCTACTGGTAATACTAGTAACTAGATGTTTAAGTCGTTTCCTTATCAATATAAACTATAAGTAATATTACATAACAAAAGTAATAAATTATGAAAATGAAACACTGACTTTCTACAGGACAGTTATGAAGATAGATATGATTGGTTTAAATTCAGGTTTAAGTTCCCCAGTGAGTCTGGAGGTTCATCTGAGTCTGCAGCTGCCATGTGCTGTGCATATTTAATGTGTGTTAATAATTGAAAAGCCCATTGAAAAATTCACACACGCTGCAGCAAGTGTACGTGAGCATGCGCATTCGAGATGTGTGTGGTGCACATATCTGTGTCCTTTAATCCGATTTACAGACTGGGCTCTGCATTTCAGCAAAGGAAAACATTTTACACGTCTTTGTATCTGTCATGTTACATCCATGACCAGACAGTACATTCATTAAAAACTTTAACAGAACCAATTCTGTGTTGCCTGAATGAATACTACAAAGGCTAAAAGCTCTTCACTGGACTGTACTTCATAAAAAGTATTTTTTGATTTTGCTGGGTCACAACATTTATCTCTAATTGATCTTATAAACTAAAAAGCCAACAAGCTCAACTAGACCATGAACAATATGATCTCAGACATTTTCTGATTCTGGGAGTTTTTTTAATTGTTTCTTTTGGAAACTATTTGAATCTGTAGAGGACAGACTGAATGCTTTGTTTTACAGTATGCAACGTTTGTTTTTTATTACAAAGTAGTGGATCAGTTGTAAATATCGAAACTGTGTAAATATAACTTACTTCTTTTTTGGGCTTTGTTCAGTTTATTTTCGGGCAAACTGCCCCTTTTAGTTCTGCCATCTCTCTATTGACAGGAGTAATCAGGATTAGGATTTACATTTGCTTATTCACAACAATTGTGTATCCAAAAAAACGAAAGGGGATTTTGTGCAAATCCTTTCTAAATGCAGATAGTGTATCCACAAACACAAGCTCCAGTCAAAGGTCGGCACAGTTGTCTTAAAGATGTTTTGTGTATGTTTAAGGTGGAACAGCCGACTGCAGCAGGTCAGTGAGCTCCCCTTTGTCTTTGTACCTGACGTCGTTGTCGGCTCTTTGTGCACCACGCTGATGGTCTGAACTCCAGCTGGTGAGAAGGACCCGAGAAGATTGGATGTGATATCTGGGCCGACCTTTGACCCCCTGCCCCTATAGCGCAGCAGGAGCCCGTCTGCTCTGTGAGGAGGACAGAGTGTGTCAGCTGTGGCTGTGTGTGTGAGGGAGAAAAGTAAAGCGGAGTGACACATTGTGTGCATGGATGTACAGTACGTGTGTGTGTGTGTGTGTGTGTGTGTGTGTGTGTGTATGTTCATACTGTTCTCATACTGTACTGTGGGTGTTGGGAGCGGAGACAGGCGTCTATCTCTGAAGGCCGTCTAAGCATCTGTCTGCATATCTGTCAATCTGTCGTATGGATTCTTCTCCACCAATGAACACGCAACGCTCTCTCTCTCTCTCTCACACACTACAGGACATATGAGCACATACGGAGCAGCTCACACACCTGTCAAATTAAATTGATGCTGCTTTAGCACCTTTTAAACACGCATACCGTACATAACATGCATAAAACCCTCCACAATAAAACATGTCCCCAGCTCACACATAAATGAGTTAATTACATACAGTACAACCTGTACGTAACAAACACACACTTCGCAGTTATTATTCACTCGTCAATATAAAACCACACACATGCACACAATCCAGAATCCAAAGTTTCAAATCATCAAAGATAATTTTATATAAAGACGGGATCGTTTCTGTTTGTATACATTATGTGACAGTGCTACAGGGTCCCCCACTCCCTTCCACTTCACTGAGCCCCTGCCCCCCCCACACACACACACACTGATGCTCACACATGCGTTAACAGTTGACCTCATGGCCAGCGTTTCAGACACAAAGGAATATCAATGTATAGTACGTCATTATCGTTTTAGAGGGTCAATGCATCTTAATATAAATATCTTGAATACAATGTAAATTTGGACACTGTAGTTTTGTGGACTGTACTGAACAGACATTTTTGAAAGGTGATTGGATTTCTGATGCTCAACATATTGGAAAAATGACAAAGAAAACATGAAATGAGTAAAAGCTAGAAGCATCCTCTATTTTTAGGAACAAGATAATCCACTGATCTCCATGAACCCTGACTAGACACCACAAGACAACATCTTATTTGGGTGAAATGTTCCTTTGATGGATAAAAGCCAGACTAGAGTTGTGATTGTCATAGTTCCCAGACCATATCTCATATGTTTCGTAAACTATACATTTATACAACGGACACACAGAACTTCCTCTTAATCCTCTGACTTTTAAACTGTTCGTGCAGCTCAGTGAAAATGTATTCATGCTTGAAATAGCTAATTTGAAAAAGTGTTTGATCTGTTGAACTGCATCGAATATTCAAAACAATGTCACCTTAACACATTTTCATAAATGTCACTGAAGTAAAAGAAAACTAGAATGGCACCCAGTAAAAGGCAAATCGCAAAACACAAAACCTCATTTCAATCATTCACACAGTCATAGAAATCAGTTCCTGAAACATGCATATTTTTCTAATCAAGAACCATGAATTAATCTGTTGCAAAATGTCCTCTCTCACAATGTTAAAGAAAAAAAATCATGCATCTGTTCACTGATCTGCACGAGAATGTAGTGAGTTCTTCCCTGATCTATACCACATCCTCCCAGCAAGTTAAATGGAAATAAGTTCAGTCCTTTTTACGAAATCATGTGAACGAACAGACATATAAACCAACATACCCTCCTGCTTGGAGGTAATTAACAAAAGGGACAAAAAGAATAATCAGAGTCATCAACATTTAATTATTTTCAACTATATGAGTCGCTTCTACATTACTCCTCCCCCTCCTCACCCCATCTGTCACATCCACTCAGCCTCCCTCCATCCCTCCTCCCCCTTTAGCTCCTGTACTCATCCCCACAGTGCTCGAGGAGTGCCATGGCCTCCCTGGAGCACCGTGTCACAGCGAACTCTTCCTCCATCAGCGTCAGGGCTGCAGCTACGCAGACTGTCACTGATGTGTTGCCCCGCCCCCCATGTGATGCCTAACCAACACCCTTCATTCACCCGCCCATCCCAGGGTGGTCCAGCACATAACGTGATGCCTTGCTGGCCAGTGAACAGTTGGGTCTCTTGGCAACGGTAACTAAGGTGACAAGGATGTCCTGGAAAAACGGTCCAACCACCCAAAGTGAGGATCACGTTTTTGCACTTTAGAGAGCGAGGCGATGAAGACCTCCGGCCTATAGTTGGGCTCCGAGAGTAGACCGCCAGCTGAGAGAGGACAGATGTGGAAGAAAAAGAGAAAGGAAAAAAATGGAGGAGAGAGGCGGGCCGAAGAGTTTGAGGAGTCGGGGTTTCCCATTGCTTCTTTGCTTTGCCCTCTTCCTCCATTCCCATTATTCGTGCCACCTCTTCCTCCCACTTCTCCTCTCTCCATCCTGTATTCTTACCCCTGCGGTCTCTCCATCCCCCTGACTCCTTGCAGTCTCCCCATGCTCCCTGAAGAGAGAGAAGAAGGGAAGAAGCGATGGGAGGAAGCGGGCAGATATGGAGACCATGGATGAGGGGGGAGGA